CCCCAAACCCAAGCTACCAAGTTAAACCCTAAACCTCTCCAAAGACAACCCAGTTCCCAGCCAGCACCCACAGCCGGTGTCCCCAACTTCATCAACCCACTGGGCTCAGGCTGCACCTTTGTGCTGCAGATGCCATGGGCTCCCGGCACTTCCCTGCCCGCACCGTGCTCTTTGAGAAGGAGTCCAACGGCGTCACGTACCGTGTGCCCGCGCTGCTGTACCTGCCCTGCGTGGCCAAGCTGCTGGCGTTCGCGGAGGAGCGGCTGAGCGCTGACGATGCCCACGCCAACCTGCTGGTGCTGCGCCGCGGCTCCATCTATGGCAGCTACGTGGAGGTGGGGGATGCCCCTGGGGCTGGAGCGGGGACACTGGTGGTTGGAGGCACGGGGGCATCCACTGCTTGTGCGTGGCACAGCCGGGCTCCTGGAGGCAGCCACAGTGGGGAGGGGAGGCTGGGTTGGGTGAAGCGGGGTGATGCTCACCCATCAACATGTTCTCCTCCTCCCCGGGCAGTGGGAAGACATGCGTGTGCTGGAGACGGCGACACTGCAGCACCACCGCTCAATGAACCCCTGCCCGCTCTACGATGAGTTCACCGGCACCCTCTTCCTTTTCTTCATCACGGTGCTGGGCAGGACACCTGAAGCCTATCAGATTGTCACCGGCCAAAACGTCACCCGCCTCTGCTGCATCACCAGCACTGACCAGGGCCTGAGCTGGAGCAAAGCCACGGACCTGACGCAGCAGGTCATTGGTGTCCACCCATGGTGTGGCTGGAGGTGGCCTCAGAGTAGGAAGCCCACAGGCATCAACGAGGTGGGGTGGAAGAGAACCTCAAGCAGAGGGGAGGTGGGATGGAGTGAACACCTATATCACTTGCATGGAGGGAAAGAAGGTGGAGAGGACCCATAGCTATGAGTAGCACCAAGAGGGCCCTGCTGCCCTCCCACTCTCCCACCCACCCATGGTGTGGCTGGAGGTGGCCTCAGAGTAGGAAGCCCACAGGCATCAACGAGGTGGGGTGGAAGAGAACCTCAAGCAGAGGGGAGGTGGGATGGAGTGAACACCTATATCACTTGCATGGAGGGAAAGAAGGTGGAGAGGACCCATAGCTATGAGTAGCACCAAGAGGGCCCTGCTGCCCTCCCACTCTCCCACCTTGCTTGACTAGGCTGGGAGGGATGCTCTGGAGAGCCTTCCACATTGGGCATGGCAGGGGCACCATGGAGGCCACCCTTCAAGCCCAGCCCATCTCCTCTCCCTAGACTGGGCAACGTTCGCACTGGGCCCCGGGCATGGGATCCAGCTGCGGTCGGGCCGGCTGCTGGGGCCCGGCTACAGCTACAAC